CTTCTTTGTTCCTGGAATGCAACATTAACTACTACCCCTTATTGTCATATACACACTTCTACCTTTACAGGAGCTCTGGTAGCATAGTGGTTATGAATCGGGCTGCTAACCTCAAGGTCGGCAGTTCGAAACTACCAACAGTTCCGTGGGAGAAAGATGAGGCAGTCTTCTCCCATAAAGAAAGATTTACGGCCTCGGAAACCCTTTGTAGGGTCACTGTGAGTTGGAACTGACTCCATCGTACTTAACAACAACTTTTATAGTAGTGACAATCGCAATTAGTCATGATAACAATTACTCAGTACTGAACCAAAAAAAACCTTTATCCCCATCTCCTTTCACCATACTCATCTAGACAAGATGAAAACTATTCAGTGTGGATTCCTCGTCCCACCCCCCGAAACTAAACTCTCTTTCCAAAACTTGTAAGCCAGCCACTTAGTGTCTTTTATATTGTTGTTAGGTGCCATCGAGTCGGTACAGACTCATAGCGACCCTATGTACAACAGAACGAAACACTGCCTGGTCCTGGGCCAACCTCACAATTGTTACCACGCTTGAGCCCATTGATACTGCCATTTGGCCAACCCATCTCAGATGCTGAGGGTCTTCCTCTTTTTCTCTGACCCTCCACCTTACCAAATATGATATTCTTCTCCAGTGACTGGTCCCTCCTGACAGTATCCAAAGTATGAGAGACGAAGTTTGGCCATCCTGGCCTCTAAGGAGCACTTTGGCTGCACTTCTTCCAAAATAGATCTGTTGGTTCTTTTGGCAGTCCATGGCACTTTCAGTATTCTCCTCCAACACCATAACTCAAAAGCATCAATTCTTCTGCGGTCTTTTCTTATTCACTGTCCTGCTCTCACATGCATATGAGGTTATTGAAAATACCATGGCTTGGGTCAGGTGCACCTTAGCACCACTATTTTAGGTAGCCGATGTCTAAGTTGCCCGTCCTTATTAATCTTGTGTACTGAGGGACTAGGCTTGATCCTTGATGTGAAGGCTCCTTCCCTCTCAGTTGGTATTTTGAGCTATTACATCCATAAGTAATTGAGGACTGTTTTTATTGACAGATTTTTTTTTTCTATTATAGGATACTTGTGCTTATTGATATGTCAAATTATTATTGATTATATGTTGAACACATGAATGCTACATTGTTTAATATCTTTTTTTCTCCTTCTTCCTTTCTTAAGTATTGAACTTTGTTCTGGTAAGCCATTACCTAACTGGTTCCTTTTGATTATTTGATGCTTTTGTTTGTTTGTTTGTTAGGGCAGGTTTAGAGTCACTCTTAAGACTTGGGTTTCCATAGTATTCTTTCAGTGATCAAGTTGAATGATTTGTGAACTCTGGACTTGCCCTCTAACCTGTTAATTGCCTAACCTAGTAGAATTTCACATTGCATATGCACAAACAAAATCATCAAGGGATCGCCCTGAAAATTTCTGGAGCTTTTTCATTTTAGCTTCCTTCTCTTTGACATTTTATTTGAGAACGTCTAGCAACCTCAGCCTCCCTAAATTCCAGTTTGTCTCTTCAATTATTCTCCATGCACTGTGGCTTGTAATGTGCCTCCAGGCAGAAAGTTGGCACCGTCCTTGGCTTCACCTTGAGCTTTTCTTTCTCACTAGAATCACAGACCCTTGCTGCCAGTTGTCTGATGTTTGAAAACATTTGTTTAAAATATTTTGTCCATGTTTCTAATTCTTTAAGGTGAGAAAGCAGATTCAGTCTTTGTTCATCTATCAGGGATAAAAGTTAGAAAAATATTTTAAGTAGTGTACATAAAATAAACTGTATAGAATGATCTTTAAAATCTTGCTATGATGTGGCAGTACATATATTTTTAATGCGCTAAACAGCAATTTATTAACTTTAAATAGCTTAATGGGGCTTAATAGTAATTGTTTCCCTCTGAATTCATAACTTGAATTCAAATTAGAAGCTGCTTAACTACCTTAAAACTCTCTGTATCCATGTTCTTAGGTGTCATTGAATTGCTTCTGACTCATAATGACCCTATGCACAAGAGAATGAAACACTACCCAGTCCTATGCCTTCCTCATGTTGTTGATATGTTTGAGTCCAGTGCTGCTGCCACCATGTCAGTCCATCTCCTTGGGGGTCTTCCTCTGTTTTGCTGACCCTCTACTTTACCAAGCAGGATGGCCTTCTCCAGGGAGTGGTACCTCCTGAAAACACGTCCAAAGTATGAAAGACAAAATCTCGCCATCCTGGTTTCTAGGCAGCACTTATTCCAAACCAGATTTGTTTTTTTCTGGCAGTCCATGATACTTTTAATAATTTTCTCCAACACCATAGTT